AATATTTAAATTTTAGTTTATTTTCAAATAAGATTATAGAAATCTTTTTTTAATATTAGCAAGCATTTTTTTTAGAAGCCCATCATAACCATTCTTTTAATTATGTTTGATTTTTTATTTTGATTATATTTTTTTATTATATAATTAAATAAAAAATAATTTTATAAAAATAAAGTTATATTATCGTCTTTGTATTTTCTAAAAACAATGGTTTTTTAAGAAATTAAAGAGCTCCCTACAACTCATGATCAACAATCTTCATATACATCTGTTTCTCAACTCCACAACTTAGTTTGTGGTTAGCGTTAAGAATTTTTTTAGCATTTATTGTCTCATGTTATCCTTCATGGATTGTGTTTCATGAAAAAAAAAAAAAAAAGCCCTCCTTGCAAGAAACGGAATGCACTCTCGTGTTTTGGCTCCACTAATATATTCTATTAAATATATGCATTTATTTTATTAAATGTTAGTAATGTTTGGATAATCTTTTCAATGTTAAATGCAGCTTGTGGTCAAAAATCAATTTTCAAAAAAATAAAAGGAAAAATCAACTTAATATTTTTTTTTAAAAAAAATAAAATATAAATATTTTACATTAATTAGAGTTAAACCGGATTAGTTTCCTCAAATTATAATTTAAATCATGGAGTTGACTAGTTTTAATAACTTAACTTTTTAGAATTTAATTTTTATTTAATCATAAAATATTAAAAATTGAAATTCACATGAAACATAACAAACAAAACCATGAAGTAGAAATGTATTTTTTTCAAAACATGTCTAATTCATGTAATTTGTTTTGTTTCTACAATAAAATGGTTTTTTCTATAGTATCATATTTCATTGATAAAATCAAGCAAAATGTAATGATTTGAACGAAAAAGAAAAATGCATATATTTCTAGTAAAAAAAACTAATTTTCTTAATTAGTTAATTGTTTTAAGCAAAAATTAATTATGATCAAGAAAACATGTATCAATTAAAACTTGCTTTAACAAAATCATTTTTTTTATTTGTATCACTACCAGAAATTCGCTAAATAGTAACGAATTTACCGACGGAATATTTTTGTCGATAATTTGAGGTTGAAATTACCGATAGTTATATTCCGTCCATAATTCAGTCGGTAACTATCGACAAAAAATTTCTGTTAGTAGTTACCGATTGAATTATGGATGGAAACGTTTCCATCGTAAAAAAAAAAGGGTCGCTGACATGGAGGTTTTGACAGGTTATTTTTTCAGACGGAATCACTAACGGATTCAAAAAGACAGCCCATACAACGACCGCCATTTATATTGCCGACGAATTTGAAATAGCAGACCTGTACGGTGACGTGTCGATTGTTCCGTCAAAATCATCGACGGTTTCACCGATGGATTTTCCATCGGTGAAACTGTCGGGAGAAGTTAATATATGTACACCCTGCCGACCCTCTCCTCCCCTATTTCTCCTTCTTCTTCCTAATCCCAACTCTCCCCATCTGCAAACAACCATCCCCCCATCCCCCCCAAACAAAAATCTCCCTCATATCAGCACAACAAGTTATATTTCTTGAAGTTTTGTGGTCACAGCATCTGTGTTCTGATTTACCGACGGATTTTATCAATTTTTGTAAGAATTCTTTCTTTTTAAATCTTAACATTTAATTAAATGTTAATTTTATCATTTTTTAGTATATGTATTTTGTTAGTAAATGTACATGTTTTATTGTTATTTCTCAAACAAACTTGTAGTATATGAATGTATAATTCTATAACTATTATGGTTTGTTTTAGATTTTGTAAGATTGTATTTGTTTGTAAATTGTTAAAACTTTATGGAACTACCGAAGTATATGTGCTGTTTTGAAATAATTAATAGCTTATTGGATCTGTTTAAAGTTTTGTCAATGGTATTGTGGAGTGGTAATTTTTGTAAATTTATATATTTTAATTTGTATGGACGTTGATAAATGATAATGAATATTTAATATTTATGAGAAGTTATGATTGGTTTGTTGGATAATCTCGAGGTAAAGTAATATTTTTGCAAGTTTATTTACCTAACTTAATTATACATTATGTCATCATAATTTTATAGAGGTTCGATATATATCATGGATGTATCGAGATTCACCCCAAGGATTGCGAAGGATGGATTATTGTAACGGGGTTCAGGATTTTATTAATTTCACAACATCTATTCCTAGAAATTTTACTAAAGGCGGTATTAGGTGTCCATGCAGGAAGTGTCAAAATAAAAAGTATTTGTATCCAGATGTTGTAATAATGCATCTTCTACACAAAGGGTTTATGGAGAATTACCAGTATTGGCATGCACATGAAGAAGTATATGTTAGTGAGAGGAGAATGGGTGAAATGATGGTTGGGTCTACTTCTAGTCCTAGCAACGAGAATGACAACACTAATCCTTACAGAAACATGGTTATGGATGCAATGAGAATGAATCAAGGTAATGTCAGTCAATGTCCAATCGTAGAAGAAGAACCTAATGTAGATGTAGCTAGGTTTTTTGATTTGTTGAAAGATTCCGATGAACCATTATGGGATGGCAGCACGAACCACAGTAAATTATCGGTCGTAGCACAGGTGTTCACCGTCAAGTCAGAGCACGGGTTGAGTAATGCCGGGTATGACAAGATTATTGAATGGGCAAGAAGCATTTTACCTAAAGAGAACAGGCTCAAAGAGAACTTTTATGGTGCGAAATCCATGATAAAACCCCTTGGTTTAGGATACCAGAAAATTGGCATGTGCCCTAACTTCTGCATGTTATACTACCTTGAAAATGCTGAGATGACCGAGTGCATGACAGGCGGACATTCCTGTTACAAA